TTTCAAGCCCTGCTTAGACAGCTGTTAGACTGTTAATTATTAGCAAAAACTTCTGGGAAGATGTAAAAGTGTAAAATTTCTTTCTTGGAAGTCACTGGGTCAAACGAGGAATTCAAGGGGATTGAAGTACAAAACAAATCTTGAAAGGAGGTGGGGTTAATGATTTCAGAATTTAGATGGCAGTGGGTGAGGAAAGAGCATTTTGGAATTTTCAAGGGAAATTAAAATACATAAAAGCCACCCATGGCCGGGTATGGATATTTTCTGGAATCACCTAATTCTACCCAATGTTTTGATCATCATCATCATCATCATCAAGTCCTCTTGGCTCCATGAGGGGCTGTACGGATGCTCTATTGCTTATCCAGAATAAGATCTGCAAGTTTCTTGATGATCCCAAATGTAAGGCAGTGCGGTTGTTCGCGATGGATTTTAGTAAGGCCTTTGACTCTGTGAGCCNATGTAACCAGGGAGCTGGTGGCCGTGTGACCTTTGTGCGTGTCAGTGGAGCGTGTCGCTCAATACAGTCAGAGATGAGTGTAGTAAACATCTCTATTGTTTTGTGCAATATGGGAGCTTAAAAAAGCCGCGACGGAAACAGCAACGAGAACATCACCAAACAAAACGTCTATTGACCAAAGAAATGGCTGTGCACGGCCATTACAAATCTTTAACCTGCCTCTTCAAAACAACAACGTGAAACTACCAAGTTTTGCAAATTTTTCGTACTCTGTTCTGGAATTGATCGCTGGCGTTACATCTTTAGTTTGAGGAGGGAAGTTAGACCACTCGGCGTACAGAACAGCTCCAAATAAGTGCAAAATTTAAAAGTAAAATATAAATCCGGCCGTTGTCCTTAGCGTCGCCGTCTTCATTTGTAAGGCAGTGCAGTGAAATGTAAGGCAGTGCGGTTGTTCGCGATGGATTTTAGTAAGGCCTTTGACTCTGTGAGCCATAAACTCCTTGCTGAGAAACTTAAGAGTCTACTGCTTAACCCGTATATTATAAACTGGTGGTTAGGATTTTTGCGAGATAGAAAACAAAGAGTTATTTTCGGCAGTTCCGTTTGTNCTCAATAGCGTGCTTGGTTTGGAAACCAGCGCCGTTTGAAGTTCAGAGTTATGGCGGTGCGTGACATACCCCTCCGATCTCGTTTGTGGAAAAATATACACTTATCTAGTGATTTTTAGCCTTTTTAGGAGTTAAAGTGTTAGGAAGTTAGTGTTAGGAAGTTCTTGTGTAAATGCTTGTGGGTACAGTTCAGGTAATCAGTTGCCTAGATGGGCAAAGTAAGTTCCAGATGTTTGCACTATTTTTCGCCACAAAGGGTCATTTTCGGAAGTTCCGTTTGTAATAAAGGCACAACCCAGGGTAGTGTTTCAGGACCTTATTTGTTCAATATATTTCTTAACGATCTGGAGATTAAATTAGGGAACGAGGCACTTGGTTTTAAATATGCTGATGACTGTACGATTATTGCTCCGGTATATGATAATATAGATCACTCTGCAGACTTAATAAATCAGTTTGTACGGTGGGCAGGCCAAAATAGACTGAATTCGAATTCTACAAAATGTAAAGAGCTTAGTATGTATAAAAAAGCACACTGCCGAGGTATACAATAGTATGTTAGGCATACCACAGACTAGTACAGTAACCATTCTAGGTCTCACATTTCAGCCGAACTGCAAATTCAGCACTCATCTTAAAGAAAAGTTATGTAAAGCAAATAAATGCTTGTATGTCATCNGCAGTTTTTAGATCGATGCTTTAAACGCAGTTATATATCCAAGAAATTAGAGATAGGTGAATTACTTAAATGTGCAAGATTATAGAATTTGTAGGAAGGTTTCTAATATCCCGAACCACCCTCTTAGAGCTAATTTCCCTGGGACTAAGATTACAAGATACAACTTAAGGAATAAATCTTCCGCAATGCCCGCCATTCACTCGGACCGTTTCAAAAATACATTCTTTAATGGGATAGTTTTTAAGTACAATGAAGCTTTGTAAATAGTGTACTTTTTGTATTCGATTTTTGTATTTGTTTTTAAATGTAACGTAAAATATGTAATTTTATCTTTTGAACAATAAAGACACTTTATTTTATTTATTTATTTATGTTGGTGGAGCACAGAGCTCCACGAACATGGCGGCTCCATATTGGGCTCTGTAAATTTGCGCAAAACATTTCGACGAATATCTGACGTTTGGGAAAACGCTGAGACCCAAAACTTGGAGAAGTGTATTCTTTACCTGTCTCCTATAATATTAAAATTTCTTGACTTTATGCACTGAATAGTTTTCTTTTTTTTTTCCCGTTGCGTGACAGTGAAAACCACCTATAGATCGTTTTCACTGTCACGCAATAAAAAAATAAATAGAAAACCATCCTTTGGAAAAAGCTATGAAATTATGATGTTATAGAAGATAACTAAATGAGACACTTCTCCAAGTTTTAGGCCT